TCAAGTGAAATTGACCAAAAATGTCGATCATGTAGCATAGAAACAAAAATATTTATCTTGATTATAAATTTTTAGTAAATTTTAAAATATTTCGATAAATAATCTCTTTATATGTACTATAAGTAAATATATTGAATAGACCAGTATTTTTTGCTCTTTGGTCTTTCAAAATCATTCTTGAGAATACACTTGAATTACGCTAAATAATAGGTATTACATTACTGGCACTACACTCCAATCACGTTACAACTTAATTAACCAAAGCATTCTTCAGTGTTTTGACTCGTGAAAAGTAATAACTAGTATTTTGCGATAAATACATTACATATATTTAAGAAATAACCAGTCTATAAAAATTTTTTATTGACCTTATTAACTCAAAAGTTAACTATTTAGATCTCTAAATAGAGATAAGAAAGTTGCAAGTAAAGCTGCTAGCGGCCAATTCCAGAGCTTAAATTTGGCTCCAGTTAGTCCAGATTGAATTAATTTAAGCAGAGTAATCAATTCTGAGAGAACTGTTTGTTCTTTCTTGAGTTGGCTCTGATTGTCTTATTTTGTTATTAATTGTTTGTAAAATAAATTAAATAAAGAATAAATTTTCATAAACTAGTATGAATAAATTGATTTAATTTGTTCCTAAATAGCAAATGAATCGTATTTCATAAAAAAATGAAATTCATCTCGCAGCTAGGGATGTTAATGGTTATGTCTGATTCTATATGCATCGCTATGAGTGATGAATAAATTTACTCATAAAAATGTTAATACAATTTGAGAACAGTAAAATCATTATCTATCACGCAGTAATTAACTTATTATTGCTAGTGCGTATAGTAAAGTACATAGATTTAATAACTAAAATTCTAGTCACAATATAAATAAAAGAGTATAGTCCGGATATTTGAAATTGACATTTGGGAAATTGGAGTTTAGGAAAATGACCCAGCTTGAGAAATGATCATTCAGTAAATTGACTTCAGGAAATGGTATATTTTGAAAAATGGCATGTCTAACAAGGGTTTTATTTGAGTTGCTATAGTAATAAATGAATAACATTTTGGATGTCAATTAGGTGGATGTATAAAACATTAATTTTTAATATGAATTAGGAATTTTAATTTGCAATATCAAACTTCCACGGTTCATATATCTTCTATTATCATCTAATATTTTTAATCAGTAACACATGTTCTTTTAATTCTAATTATGTACCAGAAAAATCGTAAACAATAGAAGGTTTCAAAATAATTTGGGTCAGGAGTATTGTGAAAAAAAAAAATTGAAATTAAGTATTTAAAGCATTACAATTTAAATGTAATATAATTAACATAACTTTCAAATATTTAAATAATAATTCATCTTCCAAAGGCAATTAAATTAAGAAAAAAGTCATAAGAATTAGGTAATAGACAATTTCTTGATTATGGTCTTTTTTTTTCAGCAATTTGGCTAAAATATTATAATATATACTGTAAAATGGATGATTGTTTATGCATTTTTTAATGAAAGAATAAAATACTTGATATTTGGTTATTTCACAATCATGTTAGGTTTTACATATACAAATAGTATTTACTACAAAAATGTATTACAAATCAACAACATACAGTGTAGGGATGGCAACGGTCAGTTACGGTTACGGCCATTACAGCAAAATTCAAAGTACACGAGACACTTGAGTAATTTGATTGTCGGGTTATCAGTCAGGTTATTAGAAAAATATAAATAACGCGTGACATGAGTATAATAGTAAATATTATACAAATATAAATATAAAGAATAGTGCAACATACGCAAAAATTGGTTTTATTTTCTTGATTTCTATAATGCCCAAATTAATACTAAATGAACATTTTTGTCAGTTAATATTACAAAGTGATATAAGAAAAGTAATAATTTATAAATGCTAAATCAATAAAGAATAAATTTGTGAGCGTCAGTCATCAGAATAGTGAAAGAACCTGTAAAAAGAATATATTAATAAAACGTTTCGTTAGATAAAAAATAAACAAGAAAAATTTCGAATTTTACCTTCTGCTTACAGCTCTGAATTTATAAAAAAAAAAAAAAAGATTTAATGAAATATAACATTTCATTTAAATAAAAATGAAACAATTTTGAAGATTACCTTCGAAATTCCATTCAGGAAGCGATTGGAAATCTGTAGACCTACAAAAAAGAAAAATTGAAACGTTGATTAACGTTTGATTAAAAAAAAATATAAAAAATTGAATATAAAAGTTGAATTTTTTAATTAGAAATTCTATATAACTCAGCTGCTTTTTTGAGAACGGTGTTTTTATTTCATCTAAATAATAGTCATTTTGGATAGGTATGATAAAATATTTTTTTTTATATATATTACTCAAAACATATAAAAGAAAAAAGATAAATGTGAATAATAATATTTCATTAAAAAATAAAAATTTTAATGTTCATACCCTTTGAAATGTCACTAATGAAAACCGCCTACAAATAGGAAAAAATGTAAGTAACGTTTCATAATATAATAAATATTGAAGAAAATAAAAAACAATAAATAAAAAAAAAACTAAACACTAATAAATGGTTCGCCAAAGAAAATTAAAAAGAGTGTTTTGAAGCACCCAAGATTTACCAATCAAGCCAAAAGAACAAACCTATTAAAAAGAATGACGAAAAAAAATTTTTTAATAAGCAAAAGAAAATGAATGAAAAAGCAAAAACAAAAAATAAAAATTACCTCCTTTCCATCTTCCTAATTCTAATACTGAAAAACCTGAAAGAAAAACATATCAACGAAGAATCGGCTCGGCCCATTAAAGAAATGAGATAAACTCACGAGTTCAATCTACCCACAGGCTTTAGAGAGAACCTAAAAAATAAAGCAGCTTAAAACGTTTCTTTTCCCTTAATAAACCAAAAATGTTTTGAAGTTGGACGAATCTACTAATTTCGTCCGTCCTGTATTTTGAAACCTTGGGACTGCTCAAAAAAGCACAAATAAAAATGTTCGTTAAAAAAAACTAAAAAAATATCCTGAAGATTATACCTTCAGAATGGGATCCAAAAACTATATACCTACAAAAATAAAACAAACGTTAGTAAAGCCTTTCATTTAAAGAAAGAAAAAAGAAAGAAAAATTTAGAAGTTTGTCTTTGAAATTCTGTCCGAGAACCGTTCAGGAAGCCAAAAGTAGAAAATTGTATAAAGAACATTCAAAAGCTTGTCTGAGACCTACCTAACAAAAAAAGTGAACATTAATAAATAAATCTACAAAAAAGTATCAATTTTTCCTTAAAGGAAATGTTTCGAAGCTGGATGAACTAACCCGATTTTGTGAAATTGAAAAAAAAAAATATTAGTAAAAAATCTCTTGAAGTTCCATAACCCGCTGCCCAAACCTAAAAGAGAAAGGCCAGACTAGTTTGAACTCTATCCCAGGGTACTATGTGAAGAGAGGGATACTATACAAAATTATACTATATAATGATGGTACTGTAATGTTAAAATTATTCTGATAGATAAATTATAAAAATAAGCGTTTGTCCAAACATACTTTTACTACAATTTTAAAAAATATTTAACAAATTATTATACATAAATCACATAAGTAAATTTTCTTATAAACTATTTGTTTTCTTGAATGAGTGTCTATAATCTATTTTTCAATCTATGTATTTCCTTGTTATTTTTGTTATTTGCAAATGTCTAAAAAGAATCTCTAATAATACGCCAATAAATATAATAAAGTTAAATAAATATAGAAAAATAGCCAAAATGGCCTTATAATAAACTGATAATATATAAAAAGTGAGAAAGGAAAAATGTATTAAAAGTTCAAAATTTCCGGAAGTTTAGATGGCAGATAAACTATTTCTGCAAGTTACAGAATTGCTATTTTGTCAGAAAGTTTTGAAATTAATAAAGTTTATTAATAGGTCAACAAATAATCACTTAAATTAGTAAAATATATTCTTAAATTTTAACTTACCTAAATAATAATCAAATTTAATTTAAATATGATTAGTTAGTTATAAATTAAAGTAAAAGAAATAAAAAATTCATATGCACTTACATTGTTGTTTATATCAAGTAAAGAAATATCAATTTGTAAGGATTCTGTTTAATAAATAAATTTATTATTTTATATTTATTTGTAAGTTTTTAATACAACAAGATTATTAACTACCTGAAAACTGCATGTTTATTATATTATCATTTTGCATATAATACTCATCCGTATTTTTTGGTTCGGGAAGATTATTAAAGTTAAGTAATCTACTCGTATAAACGGCTTCAGAGTGTGTTTTATATGATAAACAACAAAGTGATATTGAATTATTATTTGTCAATAAATTGTTGTTAATTTCTTCTGCTTCCTTAATTTGCTTTTTTAATTCTATTTGACTATCAAACCAACTCCACCACTTGTATAAGGTAAATTCAATTTCGTTTGCTTTTGGTCGATTTAATGGATTTGCATCTAAACATCTCTTTATTAATTCCACAATTAATTGTGGCACTTTAATATTAAATCTTGGTCTTAATCCTCGACAAATTTCTATCGCCAAATTAATATCATGACTCACATCATGATATGGAGGTAATCCAGAAATTACTTCATACATAATTATACCAAAACTATAAATGTCGGCAGCCTTGGTATAACCTTGTTCTCTTAAAACTTCGGGAGCAATATAAGGTAAAACCCCATATAAAGTATTTTTACTATTTTTATTTTCTAATTTGTCATAATTTGCAGGTTTACATAATCCTATATCAGTTATAGAAACATAATTTGAAAAATAGAGTATATTGCCAATATGTAAATCTCGATGAATTAATTCTTTTCCATGAATTTTCTTAAGTCCATATGCAATGCGCCATAAATCATGAACCTTGGTATACCAACTTATTTTATTATAACGTATATCTAAATAATTTCGTAAACTCCCATGTTCCGCATAATCCAAAATTATCATATAATTTTTTGTTTCTGGTTCTTGAGTTATTCCATAAATGTTAATAATAGAAAAGTTGTCTTCAATTTTATGATGTGATGTTATCTGTATATATATATTTTTTTAAAAAAAAAGTTAATTAAATATCATATTTTGAATTTATAAAAAAAACTAATTTATGCCACCTCATTGAGAAATTCCACTGTAACATTCTTTGAATTATTTAAACTTTTTAATGCTACATCTTTGTCCTGACATATTCTTTTCCAATTTTGCTTTTCATTATCCCAATTAGTTATGAATCCATCAGTCCATATTGCTTTATATATTTTACCAAATCCTCCTTTCGCAATATATTCAATATCATAAAATCTGTCATAAGGTATCCACTCTAATACTTTTTCAGATTTACTTGCTAATAGCTGAGTATTTTGAATGAACTTGTCAATATCATTATTTCCACTGGTCCAATTTTCAAAATTTTGTTGAAAACGTTTTGCGTTACATGTTTTACACCATATAAATTCAGCATTTTTTTGGTTACATTTTTTACACAAACCCATAATTAGATAAACTATTTAATGAGTAATTTGTCTTTACAATTTAACAAGCTTCAAAGATTTAAATTTAACAATTACAAACAATTATATTTATATAAATGGATAAAATGGATTGCAATAATTACGCCGATCAAACACACCGATACGCCAACTCGTATACTTGCACAACACAAAAGTTGTGTAATTAGAAGGTATATCGTTGAACAATGCAGAATGACAGTGGATTGGCAACATGCATAGTTACAAAATTTCTTTTTTTTGTTTCCAATTATGCATTACGCATGTGTGAAGTGTAAGTATGTTGATTCAACTTACCAATTTACCAAATCACGATGCTTCATTTTGTTTGTGAGCAAAAGTTACAGCATGTGACATTAAAATTTATGCTACCTTCATGTCAAATAAGGCGCAAGAGTTCCATAAACATGCCTTGTATCACATTCTATCTTTTTACACAAATTCTGGATAAGGAAATAATTAAGATAACAAGATGGACAAAGTTGTCCTACGTTCACCACTTCATATTACGCGCCGCAGCATAGCTCTCCACTTGATAATATTCAATTCCAAAATAACTTCACTTCACTTAATTCTCCTCAAATGGATAATTCTGAAATCTTTGGACTTAACATTCCCGGATTCAAAATTATCGTTAAATTTTTTTTTTTAGAAACATGACTATTATAAAACTTACTTTCAATCAAACCTTCTTGAGCGTTTTATTTATTTGATTTTTTTTCTTTTTAGATTTAGCCAATTCTTGAGCATGTAACTGTGCTAATGCTATAGCAATATTTATTCGATTATCTTTCCATCGCTTCGCCCTTTGGATTACAAATCTTTGTCCAGATTTTATTTTTGGCGAAATAAGCAACAATATGACTACGTAAATCAATAAACAAACTAACCACAAGAAATGGAGTGGACAAAATGAAATTAATAACATACAATTTATCATTATAATCATTAAATCTAAATTAACGTCGACCATTTCAGTTGAGACACACAATATAGTTAGTTATTCTTAACAAAGTTCTTCGAAAGCATATATTCGTAATTATTATTGATTAACAATTATTCTAAAGGACCAAAAAAAAATAATTGTTAATACCGTTTATCAACGATCCAGATAGTTTCATTAAAAAATACGATGCGAACATTGTAAAAAAATTAGAGTTTTGCCGATCATTTTTTGTATAACAGTCAACTTACCTATTTTATCCAAGTGTTAATCTTTACCCCAAAGATCATTTCTGTATAACAGTCAACTTACCTATTTTATCCAAGTGTTAATCTTTACCCCAAAAGATCATTTTTGTATAACAGTCAAATTACCTATTTTATCCAAGTGTTAATCTTTACCCCAAAAATGTGACCATGTAAAAATCATCACATCCGTCACCCCCCAGTGTTTTCATTGTTTATATTTATTTGATAGACTTAGTAAAATCTTATTCTTCACCGCATAATGCCGGTCAACCAGTGCATTTTTTGGAGGTAACGCGTAGTTCAAATATTAACTAATCTCGTAAGTATCACGCACTTATAATTCTAATCACATGATATTTCGAATAAATCACGGATGAAAAAGTATGTAGTGCTTAGTAATTGCTTCGACATTTCGAAAAAGCATAACAAAATACAATGTCTCTAAATCGTATTTTAACTCATGATATATCATGATTAATATATAATCAATATAATTAAATATTAAATTTTATATCATTAAAAGTTTATGTTAGAGAGTGAAGACAATCAAAAAAAAAAACAAATTACAATAAAAAATGAAAAACAATAGTAAAAGAGAGTCTTTTTTTAATTGGCGTTAATTAATTATAAAAATAACCAAAAAAGATTTATCTTTCAGTTTGAACAGAAAAAAATAAAAATGATAAAAAATTATTGAACTGCATAACCAAAAAACAAAAAAAAAAATTTAAAAAAAATTTACTGAAAATAAAAAAAAAAATTTTCGGTATTGAATAAAAAACCAAAATAAAAAAACAATAATTAAATTTTTTTCGGTATTAAAAAAAGAACCAAAAAAAAAAAAATGCGTACTAAAAAAAAACCGGAACGATACGCTATGATGGCGATTGCATCGTCCGAGAAATATGATTAAAAGGTCAGATTAAACTTTTTTGTTAGCATAATAATCTACTACATAGCAAAAAAAAAAGTAACCGATGAAAATTTCATTAACTTTTGACAGCCAGTTCAATCAGGCGCTACATGTTACACAATTCAATTTATGAGGGTGTCAAATAATTTTTTTTAGGAATAAAAAAAACTTATGATGTTAGAGTATGTAATTTCTTTAAAAATTTCTTATTTATTTATCGTTGACCGGTTATTAATACGGTTATTAATACACAAATTAATATCATAGCTTCGTGGACAATAGAATACCGTGTGCTAATGACCGAAATTGCAGTAGTACAAAATATTACAAATCTGTGTAACACTTAAAATAATATAATCAAGTCTATCTAAGCTAGTGCTTCGATCCGTGTACGAATTGATCCGGATTGATCCGGATGAAATCCGCGGTTTGAACCGGATTTCGTCGGATCCATCCGGATTGCCAGTTTTCGGATAACTTAAAATATTTTTGAAACCAATGATCAGAATTTAACAATTTAAGGCATGTTTAATAGTGCTTGACGTTGCGCATTTAATGGTATGACTGGATTTTTTGAAATAATTTTTTTATCCGGATTTTCGTTTAATAACAGTTTTCATCCGGATTAAATTGTTATTCAATCCGGATGACGGATTTCATCCGGATCGAAGCACTAATCTAAGCCACTTTAGGCCGTTTTTTTTCTTGCAGCAGTCCGAGCTTGTTTCAAAACGTCCACTTTAGAATATGACGAATAACGTGGAAAACAATGAGACTGAACATGAAACAGAATATGAACAAGAACATGAAAGGAGGAGATTTAGCGACTATATTAGCCCTGGGAAACTGGTCTAGTAATAACATCTATCAACGCTTTCATCAAAGAGGCATCAAGTTAATGTTGGCTCAAAATCGAGTATCCAATTTGATATTAGCGATTTACTCCGCAGTAGCACACGTGATTCTATTATCCCATCCCAAAGTTATGATATTAATTTTCAAATGTATTTCATAAATTCATACATTTGCTAACGAAAATTATTTAGTAATTATTGTCTTAAAATACTATATCTTTTGGATATTTTAAAATGCTAATATTTTTTGGATATTGTTATTATTCTATGAATTAATAAAATAATTTGTACTAATAAAAAAAATCTTCGATGATCGTAAACTTAAGAAGTAATTTTAGGGGAAATATTAACACTAATTATTAACGATTATTTCGTTCATGTGTAGTTTAATATAATTATGAAAAATGTGTAGCTTGTTCAAGAGATCTGAAATATATGTGCCAAGAGACAGAGTCTTATTGTAAAAAATGGTGTTCATGTTGCTTTATAATTTATACTGGATGTAGATATTGTTTAACAACAAATATTATTTTGGAATTACGGACCAATCTCAATGTAAGAATTGCAAAAGAATGTCATTTATTAATATTGATATTACAAATATTATCAGCGGAGATTGTATTATAGATGAATTTCTTGCTTCTACAAGAATTGATAGTAATAGCCAACATTTTGATTGCTAATTATATAAATAATGACCCAAATTCAAGTCTATTAAATCTATACGCGTTTTAAGAAATTTATTTACAAAGAAAACAAGTGATAGAGTGGATTCCATTTTCTCAAGTTAAAAATTTTAAAAAAATAGCAGAAGGAGGATTTAGTATTATTTATAAATCTATTTGGTCAGATGGTATACGTGATCTTGATGTTGCTGTCAAAAAATTATCTAATTCACAAAATATCAGCAAATATGTTTTAAATGAGGTAATATATAGCATTATGAAATATATTTTTGCAATATAGCTGTTAACATTAATTGAATTATTTATATTTTAGTTAAATCACTTTATTATTGTGGTGATATTGGTACTTGTGCTATTAAGTGTTATGGTATTTCACAAAATCCTATAACAAAAGAGTATATGTTGGTAATGGATTATGCAAAGGGCGGAAATCTAAATAATTATTTACAAAAGCATTTTATAAATATTACATGGACTGAGAAAATAAAGATTTTAGTGGGTATTTCATATGGGTAATTATACCTTTATTACAATTAACTTACTAATTAGTATTTAAGTTTTGTTGGTTACTGATTAATTTTATTGTAGACTTCAAGTTATTCATAGAAATAATTTTATACATCGAGATATTCATAGTGGAAATATTTTATTGTCACAACATTGGCAAATTGGAGAATTAGGATTATCACAACCTGCAGATAATACTTTATCAAATAATGAAATATATAGAGTAATACCTTATATCGCGCCAGAAATATTTAAAGGTGCAGCATTTTCAAAAGAATCTGATATATATAGTTTTGGTATTGTCATGTGGGAACTTACGACAGGCTGTAAACCTTTTATTAATGTTGAACATGATGTTAATCTTATTTATGAAATTATTGATGGAAAACCAAGAGATACCCCTGAATGTTATGCTAATTTAATGAAAAAATGTTGGGATTCTGATCCTTTAAAAAGACCAACTATTGATGAAGTTTGGGATTTTGCTATCAAATGGTGCCAACTAGTTGATGAATGGATTTATTCTGGAATCCCTTTAAATGATCCTAAAGATTCAGCTGATTTAGATGAAACTATAAAGCAAGCTGAAAAAAAGAGATTGGAATTAATACGATCAGAGAAACTTGGTCCCAAATATACTGAAAAATCTCATCCAAAAGCAGTTTTTACAAGCAGCGCATTAAGTTCATTTATTTCATCATCAAGGATTTCATTTAATTTGAAGCAAGGTATTTTATATTAAGATAATGTTGATTTAATTTGTTCCATTAAATTTATTATATATAGTATATATTAATTTAGATGACTTATGATTTTTTAGAATATATTACGAAAGAATATGAATTGGATATAAATGATATTCAAAGGTAATTATAATAACGAGTATAAATTATTAATAATATTATGGAAAATAACAAAAATTTATCGTTATATAGTTCATCCACACAAAATATAAATTCGGATACTCAAAATTCCTTTAATTCCCAGCATCAAAATGTTCATATTAGTAGACCGTTAAGGCCGTTAAGTAAGTTGATAACAACTGTAACTGCAAATTCTTCGAGTAAGCGTAATATTAAAGAATTAAATATTGAAACTCCAAACAATAGTAAGTGAAATTTTTTTTATGCACGTACAATAATGACTTTTTCAGTAGTGTATCATATTGATATAAATTTATTTATAACTAAATAGGAAAACATATTATAAAACCTAACAACTCAGATTGAGAACTTTTAATATAGCAAATTTTCATATATTAATATTAAATGTCCAATATATTTCATTGAATATTCACCAGCTTTATATTCATAATTATTAAATAAAATGTCTTATAAATTATTTCTGACAAAAAGTTAATGAGTTTTTAGCCATGTCATTATCACTTAGATCTTTAAAACTTCAGGAAAGGCTTAAGCGAAACTTACCACATTCATCAGCCATATGGTAATTAACTTTAAAACTTCATATATGAACTACAAAACTTTAGAACTTACATTAATTATTTAAATAAATAATAAAATGGCCGTTGGCTCACGTGATTCCATAGTCCCGATTAAAACATTACAGCAAAATTCAAAATATACGGGAACACTTGAGAAATTTGATTGTCGGGTTGTTGGATAGTTGGGTACTCAGGTAGTCAGGTTATTAGAAAGGCATAAATAGAGCAACATGAGAATAATAGTAAACAGTATATCGGATTATAAATAAAAGTATAATAATATAAAATTTTTTATTCAGATTCTTTTTCACATCGATCATTAGACCATAATTTTCAAGAACAAACGTACATATAAAACTGTAAAAATTTAATAATAAACCTATAAAAAAGCAACTCTTTGGCGGGAAATACATTAATAGACACATAAATATGTCTATAACAAGTTCTTCAAGTAAGTGAAAAACTAGAAACTCTAATAAAGGCTCATCTGGTTACTCTGACGTAAGGATGGGTTTTCAATTGATTTCTGAAATCTGCAATATTGCGCAAATTCACAAATAATCTGCAAATCTGCAAATAACCCGCAAATCCGCAAATAATTTACAGTATTGCAAATAACTTAACTCGCAAACTTGCAAATAATCCGCAATAAAAGCGGTACCGCCATTACCAATTTATCATCTTTTTTAATACCATAATATCGCTCTTCTAAATCATGAAAGAAATATATCAGCACTCTTACTATTTGATATTTATATTGTTTTTAATTTGTAAACGTTTAACGTATCCTAATGTTTTCAAAATTTCAATAACATCGAGCCGGTATAAATAATATGTCACGTGATTCTTTACTGTACAACTTTACTTTGGAATTTCGGTAATCTTTTTATCCGATCCATTGCTTATCGTCCGTCCACCGCACAGTGTCGTTTCGATCTTTACAGATTCGTAATGTGTGATATCGACATTCAATTCCTTATGGAATACAAAATTAACGCCTCGACGTCTTCAAAAAATCAACAATGTCCTATTTTGGCAGGCCATCAAATATATTATCGACCGACTACATCTACAAGTTACACTTCACAAAGTCAAAGCACACTCCGACAACCTTTATACCGACATAGCAGACCAACTGGCCAAGGAGGGATGTTCCAACAATAGTCCTTTGTCGATCTCTCCTACAGGCATCCCATCACAACTTAGTCACATACGAAATTATCGTCGACCGCTACTATTAATCAACTTATTGATTGGGATTTTACACAACATTGGATTAAATACAACCCATTCGACCGTCCTACAAGAATTAATTACAGCAAAATTGGTAGTTGGCGTGATAAAAACTTCAACCTACAACTTGCCTACATTAGCCCAGATATTCTCAAAGGCTTCGACACATGTTTTTTTTTGTCACAATACACCTGAATCCAACGAACATTTATGGACTTGTCCTCAAGTTATCATCATACTCATACCTATTTTTCGCAAACATGCAGATATCTTCAAAACTTTAATTAACACACACTCTGAAAAAGTTCCGGCAACTTATAATGATTCAATTCGGTTTTGCCGTATTTTCTCACTCCACCTGCTCCTATTGATGAAGCACCAGAACTACATTGTTTACTTGTCAATTTAATTCCATCAGAGATTCTGGCTCCTTTCCGAGCCGCGAATATATCTAAAACTTTAATTAAAAAAATTAAAAACTTTTATTCAAATTCCTTGTTGACCTCCACCAAGACAATTATATTTTATAACGCTTTATGGCAACTCCGCTCTGTCCAATGGAAAGATTGGAAACATATACACGCAGTCACTAAAAAAACATTTTCTTCGTATCGAAAACGCAAACGACGCGATGACAACTCTCATTTGAACATTGATAACACACGCACACGTATAAATGACACCCATGGTTATATCAACCCATACAACAACACCAGACGAGCCTTAGATATAACTCCGTTTTATGGATTTATCTCACAAGTTCAAACTTCCTCCATAATCTACCTTGGATATTACATATAGACTTATCCACTATTACTTTCACACGCTCCGTTAAATTCTAACGATCTTAATTTGTTTGATTTAAATATATAACTCCTTCGGTTCTTACACACTATTTGATTTAATATTACTACTTTATTTTTTTTTATAAATTTTTGTTTTTATTTTTTTGATGCCCAATTTGATCAAATAACGTAGTTCTATTTTATCGAGTAGTTCTTACTTCTTATCGAAGGGTGAGGTCCTGCGCGTCGGGATGCACAGTATATCAATGATCTAGTACTTAGATAATTTAGTTTACCTTTTTTTTTTTTACTTACTATTCATGTAATAGACTCTGGTTACCACTCTTTAGAAATAAAATAAAATAAAATAAATAAATTAATTTTATCCGATCCCCATCCTTTCGATTTTGTAGTACTGTAACACATTTAGCGACTTTAGCGTAGAGGAATATAGTTCATTTCCCAAATTTATTCGCTTTTTTCGCTCAATTGGGTATCAAGTATATGAACATGTAATATGAACAGTACTTATATTTAATATATTATAAATTTTTTTGGGGGGAAATCATTTTCTATGAATTTATTGCAATTTTTTTTTTTACACATGATTTCACATATATCAAAATATCAATTAAGTATGAAAATTCTATAAATATGTATAAATTGTGATCATATAATTTTATTTCGAAAAAAAAGGAAGGACTTGATTGTGCTGATTGTGCGATACAAGCGAATGCGCTGACGTACGTCAATTATTACTTAACGCAAATCGACACAACATATATGATTCAATTATACTAGAGTATTTTTGTATTATTTACTATTACTATTATTTCTACTAATTATTATTATTATTATTCTTTACTTCTCCTACTATTTCTACGTAATGAATAATAAGCAAGAACACGCCCTACAATACAGATACCTAATAATATTATTAAGTTAATATACCAAGGTAAATCATTTAATCCTTCATTCTCTATTATAGAACTACCGGAAATACTTGTCAATGGAACATCTCCTGTTTCACATATACTTGATTGTCCGGCAGGTAATTCTCCTGGTCTAGCACATCTAAATTGAGCTTTCGGTGAATCAAATTGAATTTGTACAAGCAAAGAATACGAGTATTTTACGAATGACTATTAATAGAGATAGAGAATTGTTAATATTATTATTGGTTTGAAAAAAAAAATTCTATAAAAAAATCGATTTATCGCGACTACTTACAATATATCTTAACCAATATAAGCCAAATGGTAAATATTTTATATAATATCCACCTAATAACATAGATGCAAGTATAAATACCATACTAATAGCTATATTTGATAAGAAAAAAAATTTTGTTAATTAGAATATATATTACAAAATTGTAAGATTAAAATATTTAAAAATAATAATAAATAATACTTACATATACTTTTATGTACGTTCAATACAGTGGCGCCAGCTAAATAACCGAAACTTTGAGCAGTTAATGTACTAAGTATAATTACTATTAAATAAGCCACAAATCTACCAAAATCTGGTAATAAATTTGTTGCCCAATATACTGGGATAGTATATAATATGGGATTAAATATGACTAAAGGTAATTCGGCGAATTGTTTGGATAAGTAATATGATAGTAAGCGATAAGATCGTGATTGACGTTCTTTCGATAACATGACTAAATCCGTCGGGAAAGATGCTACGGATCCAATCATTGCGGTGAATGACCAAAATACACTACAGAAGAAAATCTATAATAAAAAATAAACAGAAATTTAGAATAAATAAAATTGAAAAATTGTCAATAAAAGAATTTTATATTATTATCTATACTTACATTTCCAACACGATCAAATACGTTAGGTTCAGCGAAAGGAATTTTAAGCCAAACTATGATACAAACTACAGTCACAGCAACGGTTTGAAATATATTAACTCTTGATAAAATAATTTTTCTACTCTGTTTAAAGGTTCTTTCGGTAAGAATCGAGACTTGTTGCAAAAATGTAGCTTCCCAACGACGTTCACTTGTAACCGGTGCATTTAATATGGTATCACTTAATTGATTATCAGTACGCGTTCTACGAGAATGCTTTTCGACTACTTGTTTTCCAGTTGGATCATCACGAATGTTATGCGCATATGCATTTATTAATTTTTGTTTGATTGTATTATCGTTCAAAAGTTCCACTATAATGAAAGGAAAAACGTTATAACGTCATATTTATTTAAATTTAAAAATATAATTATAATAAAAAAAATAATACATACGTATATAATCAGCAGGATTGAAATTAGAGTGACATTTATATCCTAGATCATCAAGGTAATCCACCACACCAGCTCTTTCACCAAAATAGACCATATTTCCATCAGCCATTAACATTAATTTATCGAAAGATTCAAATACTTGAGATGAAGGTTGGTGGATAACCATAATGATGGTTTTCTTTTGTTTAACAGCGAATTCTTTAAGAATTTTTGTAAGCTCAAGAGCCAATGAAGAATCTGATAATGAAATTAGAGTAAGAAATTAATAAAAAAAAAAATGAAGCGAAAATTTCGAATAATTCAAAACTATCTTTTGATTACTTGATTACTCACCCAAACCAGATGTTGGTTCATCTAGTAAAATGACACTTGGATCTGTTAAAAGTTCAGATGCAATATTGGTTCGTTTTCTTTCTCCTCCTGATATACCACGAATGGCTTGGTCTCCTATTATGGTATCGGCACATTTCGTCAAATTTAATAATGCCATAGTATTTTCGACTTGTTTTAATTTATCATGTCGTGACAATTCACGTGGAAGACGTAATCGAGCCTATTAAATTCGTGGAAAAAAAATTTAATTAATAGACATAATGAAGTGGGAAATGATGGCGCAGCATTAAGTTTTGCGTAATAAAAGTTCTGTTGACGTTACTTACAGTGTAACCGAGGGTTTCTTTTACGGTTAAATGAGGGTAAAAGATATCATCTTGAGTACAATAAGCAACAAATCTCTTTGATTTTTTTGTTATTTTATGACCATTTAGAGTTATAGTTCCTTGAACTCCTTTTTTTCCAACGCGATCGCCAAGAAGATTTAACAAAGTGGTTTTACCGCAACCAGAAGGTCCCATAATCGCAAGAACCTCACCTTTTAAATTTATTTTTAAATGATTAAATTACATAAGATTACTTATTTTTAAAATATATATATATATATATATGTACAAAATTCATAAATTAATTACCTGGATTAGCACAACCATGAATATTTTCTATTATTTTTCGTACTTGTTTACCGGATTCTAATTTAGAATCTGAATTTCTAATTTTATTCCACCATGATACTTTATGTTCTTCGGATATAGAATAATTTATTCCATGCCATTCTACGTAAACAGGATTTTTCGCGGATGTTGATCCTTTTTCAGTACTCTGTATTAATTCTGCTCGTTTTGCTGTTCTTTCTAATTGAATTGAGAGATCATTAATACCATCACTTTTTTTTTTTTAAAAAAAAAAAAAAAAAAAAAAAAATTGATGAATTACCAATGTTTTTTCGTTTATGGCCGTCGATATAGAACTTGAAGTAGAATCAATTTCAGTCGCAGTAACAATTTGATCGTTTTCAATTTGTTCCATTGAATTTTTTTTTTTTTAAAAAGATTATTTTTTTTTAATTAGAGGGAATTTATAAAATAAAAAGAAAAAAAAATTTATTAAAATAAAGTTGAGATGAAAAATATCCAAAAAAAAAAAATTTCGACTCCTTTTATATATTTTTTTTTTACATTTTGCTTTGTTGGGATGACGAATAAGTAACACAGAAAAATTCATCATCGTGAGCCGTGGTACTGTGAATTTATAGATAAAGTTTATTTTTAACGTAAGGGGAAAATTTATTTTTCCGTATAAATTTTAAATTAACTGTACAACAAATAAAGAAGCGAACTTAAGAAGAAATTAGAAAATAAAGAAGAAAAAAAGTAACCAACCATAAATGATGATCTGATTTATGATTCTCGTAATAATATGTTTATTTTTCCTGAGTAAAAATAGAAAATTCTATTTCCACAACGATACCTAAAATGAATAAAAGACAATATTAGATATACATCACATTTTCCATATATTGATACTTATAGTATGAAGGCCGTAGTAAAAAATAACGCCAATCCCGCAGTACATGAACCGTAGTAAGGATAACGCCAATCCCGCAGTGCATGATTTGCGAAATACTGCGCAATTCGGATTCGGATAAAAATTTTTCAAAAAATGCACCATAGAATGAAGACTAAAATGTAAAGGTTTAAAAAGTCGATTATTTTCATAATATTAATACTAAAGTTGGTTAAAAAAAAAAAAGTTAAAAATCCAAATAACCAAAAATGAGATCATTTATGCATATGAAAAGCCACGAGAATTTATATTATACAATGGGAATCTAAAAATAAAATTAAACTAGTTCATTGCGCAGTTAAATCTTGATTGTATCCGTCTTATATTCTTATATTGGATTTTAGTATCTGATGCAATGATTTAAATTCCATCTTGCATACTTGTTATTTAACCAAAAATACAAAACGGTAAATTATCGATCCGAGGTTACATTTGTGCATGTGTTATTGTGTACGAAATAAATTAAAATTCTTTGTTTTTTTCCTTTTCTAACGTATTACGTATAACAAAATTTTGACATGTTTTCACTTTAATCTTTTTTAGTCCAAATCTTATCTATAAATTGATATTTAATTATTCTTTTTTTCGAATTTTTCGGCTGATTTAATTTAATTTATCCGAACGTGAAAATGTGTATTACGTCTGCGCCTAGTCTATTCCATATATATGATTTGATTCATTTTTTTTTTGGTTAGATTAAAGATTTCGGTAAATTGTCTTAATAAAAATATATTTTTTTTTAATTATGATAACAATCGCATATTAATCAAATATGTGTAACCGTATCGAATTACTTCATTTGCATTACGCCCATACTAATTATTTTAATGGGGCATCATTATTTTACATATGGTGATTATTTGGATAGATTTTTTTTATAATATGTTGATCATTTTATTGAATAGACGAAACTATCATTAGAATCTTGAATGAATATTTGAAAGTGATTTATTAACATAATTATATTAAATTATTGAATAAAAATAAATTTTTAAGTATCAACAATAAATTGTTTTTTTGGGTAAAACAAATGTGCTACTCGCTCTGTTTTTGTAAATTCAAAGAATAATCAAAATCTATATCTCTATTACCTTAATATATCCTAGTAAAAGTTGTTTCTTTTACAAAATCACGTATAGTAACAATAAAATATTTAAAGAATTCTTATTGAACTTGTATTAAAATAAAAAACTTTTTTTTGTTTTCATTAAAATCTGATTTTTTTATATTTTATAGAAAATCTACCTGAATAACTACTATTATAACCTTAGAAATTCTTTTTCATCGTGTAGAATTACATATATATTTTTGTAATTTCATTCCTACTTCTAAAAGGATCTCTGTTTTAAGGACGAACTTCTTTCGTAAAAAAAAAAGGAAAATTATTTTTTAGATAAGGCAAACGATGTCTTAATTAGGATAGGTGCAGTGCTTCGATTTTGGTTACGCAAGTTTATTTAATACATTTTGGATCGATGTCCGTACGGATTTTTTTCAGGAGATTTTTTTTTGTAAATCGCACTATAAAAATAATTTTCATAGGTAATTTTTTTTGTGGTAAGGGTCTTGACAGATATTAGGTAATATTTTAGGGAGGCGGGGGGCTAAAGTGCTAAACAAAATCTTATGTGATACAAAATTATTGGTTAAAATTAATATTATTTATATAATTAAATATTATTGGTTAAAAAAAATCTTACCTTTAAATCCATTACAAACATTTATAACTAATTCACGGATAACCCGATCTAAATAGATTAAGTAGGTTTGATAAGTGGATGCAAGATTTGTTTTGTAGATAATATTTTAATAATAATATATCTATCCATTAGAAATTCTGGTTGTTGGTTAAAATAATAATAGCGAAAAATAAATAAAAAATATCCGGGAATTATATATAAGTTTACTTAAGTTCACATAAATTTCATAAGAAACTTAAGTCTACGTAAGTTTACACCTTCGTCGAAGGTTTACGCCTAAAATAATTTCTAATGAAATTTCTTTGGACAATTTTTTACGCCTCAATACTAAATATAAAATTGTTATACATTTTTTTTTGGGTTAGGGATTGTTTTTTATACCGGTGTATATGAAGTATTTATTAGATACTCATGGAATAACAGGCTTATCTCATTGTGTATAACGTATACACCGATACTATTTTATACTTTTTTTATACCGGTGAATTATAAAGAAATCCATCGGTGTATATGTTGTGCCTCAGATGATGATTTGCGTCAGGTGATAACTGGCGCGCGTCAGATGTCAATTTAAACAGTTTGCTATAAGTAAACTTCTAGTTGTATAAGTAAACTTGTGTATCATAATGAGTTACATATATCCTGAAAATTTTAAATAAATATAATTAATACTTGATAATATATTGCAAATAATGTTATTTAAAATGTTTAGCTATAATTAAACTTTAAAAATATTTCGGTCTTAATATACTTTATTAACTATGTAAATTTATTCTTTATGCCTGTAAATATATAATCCTGAAATTTTAACACAGTTGGATTCATATTTATGGAAAATCACCTACTTTAAAAAATACAGTTGACACCTGACGCAAATCGTCATCTGAGGCACAAACACATACATAATACCGATGGGATAGGTTATCTCCCTCGATCTTGGTGTATCCTGTCCTTGATCTTTGGGTGTATCCTATTCTTAATCTTTCAGTTATCTTTAATTGATTGCATTTTTTTATTTACTTTTATTATATTTCTTTTATCATTGTCTTTATCTATTTTAGAATGATATGCGATAATTATAAAAGCTAGCAAATTAAAATTTAAGCCATAAATTGCATGGATTGCTATGGGTGGCTCAGTTATTATATTATAAATTCCCGACAATGCATATATTTTTTACAATTGAATATAAATAATATACCATTACATTTAGATTATTATATATAAATAATTTATAATCCTCGGTGCGAAGCGACGAGTGATTTATAAAATCTCATTTTATTTATTGCGCGGTCAAATTACAAGAAAAAAAAACGGAATAAAGAAAAATTTTTATAATTTATAATTATTGCTTCCTTCCAATGAAACTGCCAAGGTCATATGTCTAGTTTGTATTATTATCCTTTGTTCTTTTGCGCCTCACGGAGCCAGGGTCCGAATTTTGTCTTCCTATAGTTTAAATATTTTTTCGATAATGTTTACAAGTATCTTGAATTATATTTTGGACATAAACTTTTTCTATTTTACTCTCAACGCTCGTACTGATAATCACTAATAAAAGAACTTGTTTCGTTATAAAATATGTTCCAAACACTTTTCGCGTGTGACATAACTCCATTTTTGAGTTTGACTCTTTTTTCTATATTTATTATGGGCGTTAGAAATTTTTTTCTCGGCTTTTTCTCAAAATTTTTGGCCGAATTTAATTATAAGCTTTTTATTTTGAAGTTTTACAGTTGATTTCATAATATACGGGAGGTCACATACCAAGAGACAACTCGGTAAAGTTCAGAATAAGGTAAGTTAGATTCAGAGAGCACAATAGTGTAGTTTTTATTTAATGGGAAAAAGTTAGTGATTATCGGTTATACATATGGGTCTGAACTTATCTAGTGACATTATTAATATTTAAGTGTATAAGTATTTTATTTACTGCGGTACGGAATGTATCAATAATTGGGGATTTATAGGGGACTAAGATGGTCAAGTGAGGTTATTTTAGGGAATTATAGTCCGTAACGACGTTAAATCTTTATTGGATATTTATATTTAGGGGTTTTAATTGGTTAATTTATACGAAGATCGGGCAATTAATGACGTGCTCTTTGAAATGATCTACATAATTGTGACGAAGGGCAGTAGAGATTAACGAATCATTTATATGAAGTATTATTTTAAAAATTCTTATTTTTAATTGGTTTTCTTTGGGATCTCTAAAAGGGAAGATATTATTCTAAGTGTGGTTCTTTAACATTTAAATATATAGAATTTAGAATTTTCGTGAAATTAGTTATTAGAATTTATCTCTTTTCTTGAATTTTTCATTTTATTAATTACTTAATTTTATTATAAGACTCGGGAATTGTTATAATTTTTATCAAATTTAATAAATTTAATAAAGGTTTATTTTGTAGCTTGTGGTAGCAAACGTCTTTATGACGGACACAAATCCTACAAGTGGATTTGGCTCACTTGATGATCTGAATGTCGATCATTTTGGCCAAAATTAACGTTAATTTTAGCCGACATTCCGATAATCAAGTGGGCGCCCATATGATTTACACGATTGATTAAATAAGCGGACTTCATTTATTTGAATATTTACTTCAAAATCATAAACCTAAAATTAGGAAATATGCAGTTTATCAATTGCAGCACAACATGCATCATAAAATTCATTTTTTTCTTTCCAATTATGCATCATTTGTGCATGCATGAATGCATAAATGCATAAATGCATCATTTAAAATCCATACAACGATTAAAACGGTGAAACTTTTTTTTTTTTAAAAAAAAAATATTATGTAAAAAATAATATAAAAAATAAAATTTCACTATTATAAATGATAAAATGGAATGGATTGAAGAAAAGATTAAGAATGAGGATATCCGATATTTTGATTATGATCAATTTAATGAAATCTCCATAATTGGTCGAGGAAGGTTCGGTATAGTGAGTAAAGCTAATTTGGCTAATACGGGATTGGTCGCATTAAAAACTATTTGTAGTGAAAATTCAGAAGAGGAACATAGTGAGTTTAATGATGAGTTTGTGAAAGAGGTATAAATCACTTTTTTATATTGTACAGTATATTATCTAGTATATACTATAAATAAAATTAATTTTGTTCTACCATATTTTTTTTTTAGTTGAAACTTCTTCGCGAGGTTGATAGTCATCCAAACATCAATCGTTTTCTGGGAATAACAAAAGGTTTATTATTAGAGATTATTATTTAATGATAATTTATTTATACAATCTAATCTAACTTATTTATATTTATAATTAATAGATTCTGAGTATTATATTTTGGTGTTGGAATACGCTAATGAAGGACATTTAAAAGGTTACTTGAACAAAAATTTTGCTTCATTGAAATGGAATGATAAAATTCGAATGGCATTGGATATTATCAGTGGACTGAAATTTCTACACTCCAAAGAAATAATCCATAGGGACTTGGTAAAAGAGTATTATTTGCTTTATAGTATTTTATTCGTGATCAATAATTCAATTAATATTGTCATTACATTGTAGCACTCAAAAAATATATTGGTAAACAATGGAAAATTAATAATTGCAGACTTCGGATTATCTAAAAAGTTGGCGGAAGTTATAACTAATTCAGCGGGTAATAGATATGGGGTGGTTGAATATGTTGAACCACAATGTTTTAAAAATATCAACTATAAAAAAGATAAGAAGTCCGATATTTATAGTTTAGGTGTTTTATTATGGGAAATTTCAAGTGGGCGTCGTCCTTATTCTGACTGTCCACGAAATTTACTTAACGATCACATTAGAGAAGGTAATAGAGAAAAACCAATTGAAGGTACACTTCCAAAGTATCAAAAACTTTATCAAATATGTTGGGATGACAAACCAAAATCAAGACCCGACATTGAAGAAGTACATGAAATTATAAGTCAATTAAATATTGAGGATACTTTCAATCTACAATTTCCGCAACCTAATATACACAATATTGATGACATTAGTAAAGAAAATGATCATGATGATTTATCTATTTCTTCTAATTATTCAAATCGAAGTAAGTTTAATATATTAATTATATTGATTAATAACAATGTTTTCTATCATTAATAATTTAATTGTTATAGTCGATGCTGTCAATAGCTGTAATAATGACGATAACGTAAAGAAATTTGAAGGAATTTTCAAATCATCGGACTATGATTTGGATATAGATGAAAGAAAACTAAAATATAAGGATTATAACATCATTTTATGTGAAAAATGTAACGAAAAATTTTATGGTTATTGGTATTGTAGAAAATGTTGCATTAACGAAATTGAAGAAGAAAAATATCGTATGTTACATGGAATATGTAAAGGATGTTCTCAAGCAATGAACATTCCCTGTTGGTGTCAATCTTGCGATTCAAATAGACTTCGACTAGATTTTGATAAGTGGACCAGCGGAAATAATTATGTTGATGAGTTAATAAAAGACAATCAATCTTCGGCTTATAGCAAACATATTTTAGAATGGATCCCATACGAAAATTTTACAGACTTTAAATTTATAGCTCGAGGAGGCTTTTCTATAGTATACTCTGCAACTTGGACAAATGGACGAATCGAAAAATGGGATCATGGATCTAATATCTGGAAAAGGTCAGGATCATTCAAAATTGCTTTAAAAATATTAAATAATTCAAGGGATTTAAGCGAAGAATTCCTAAATGAGGTATGTTTAAATGGGAATATAAATTAGGTTTCTTTTTCTTCATATTAATTAATCATTTTTTTTTTTAATTTAGTTAAAATTTTTGAAGGAGTTTTCCAATTATTGTTATAAACATATAATAGAATGTTATGGTATAACACGAGAACCACTTACTCTTAATTATGCGTTAGTATTTGAATTAAAAGATTGCGATTTGCGTGATTATCTTAATAATTATTATAAATCATTAACATTGAAAGACAAATTAGACATTATAGAACGCATTTGTTTGGGACTAAACTGTATTCATAGTTGTAATATAATTCATAGAGATCTTCACTCGGGAAATATTTTGCTTTCGTCCAAAAAGATATCAGATGTATCTATTTGTGATTTTGGACTTTGTGGACTAGCGAGTGAAATAAAATCAGAAAATTCAAAAGAGAACATCTACGGAATAGTGCCATATATTGCCCCTGAGGTACTGCGTGGCGATGAATTTACACAGGCATCAGATATATATTCATTAGGTATAATTATTAATGAAATAATTTTTGGAAATCAACCTTTCAATAGTCGGCCGTATAATGAATACCTCGCAATCGATATAGTATGTGAAGGATTACGTCCAAACATTAGAGATATAACGCCGGAACCTTTGAAAGAAATGATTCAAAAATGTTGGGATGAAAATCCTAGAAACAGACCAAATACTGACGAAATTTATGATATGTTACGGGATTATATGTATACAAAAAATGAAGGAAATAAGGAACATTATTATAACTTCAGGAAATACACAAAACAATATGAAAAAGCCAAGAATTTATCATATAATTTAATCAACGAATTCCACGACTTTATGACAATATTGCCATCAGAGTCACAAGTAAGTCGATCTTCATCGATTATTATTATAGAAACAACAAAAACAGGTAAAATAATCATCGTATTTTATTTATTTACTGTAAGTCGAGTATTTAATTAAATTATTAAAATTCATTAAAATTATAATAATAGCAGATTTTCTTGAATATAATGATTGTGGAACTGTTGTCCGTCTTGATGGTATGTAATAATGACTGCGCTTCAGGCTTGATAACGGTTTCCGTTTCATGTAGAATGTAGATATATGTAATAAAATTAAATACTTTCCAACAAGCACAAACATTTGATTCTTCATTATAAATAAACCGGTAATACGAAAGTAGTGTAAAGACTAAATTATATTAGTATTATAGTTTAGTGGCGCAGTTTAATATTTATTTTTAATATATAGGGAAATTTATATTAAGATAGTTTACTAGCATTTTAGGTAACAAATGGTGAGTATAGGAATATGTGTTATACTATTATAAAAGGTCAAAATTATTATCGTGTATCGAACATTTTATTATTAATAGAGGATTATACTCAGTTGTATGTATAACGTTTAAAATGAGTAAAATATTAATATTTTATATTCAACGGTTTAATTTTAAATTTATTTTTGTTATATTTCTTTCATTATATATTATTATATTTATAAAATAATAGCTTTATATTTGTAGTTCGAGAAATTAATATTTTTCATACTGCAAGTTTAATTAGAACTGATTTAATTATTAAATTTATGGTGTTCTAAGCCAATAACTAAACATTAATTTACTGCAGATTTAATTCATAATTATGTTCTTTCACATAATGGGAAAATAAAAAAATTTTTTTACATTAAATTTTAATAATTTATCATATGAGGTAATGACAATTTTCGTTTGTGAATCGAAAATTTGGATCGATAAATTTATAATTGTTAATGAAATATTAAAAATTTATGTTGCTATTTATAAATTTTGCCTTTAGTTATGCAGATTGTCTTTTCGGAAAATTCCAGTAATTCGTGCAACGTGTTTTATACTTAAAGGATAAAAAAAAATTGATTAAACTTAGCATAAAAAATCTTTTTTGCTTTATTATTATTGATATGGTATAAAATCAAAACGTCAGAAGTAGACTAATGGTTTTGACTATGATTTGGATGAAGATGAAAGAAAATTAAAATATAAGGATTATAATGTTATTGTATGTGAAAATGTATAGTTGGCATTGTAGAAAATGTTACGTTAACAAAACTGAAGAAAACATCGTATGTTACATAGAATATGTAAAAAGACTTCTGATTGTAATATCAAATTGTTTGACAGCAACAGCACAGAAAATCATTTGAACTTCTTAAATGTCAAATAAATTAACTCTTAATGTTAAACTTCTGTCCAGTCCGTATATTATTATTATTTCATACATATAAAAAAATTTATTATTTACCATGATGTGATGATGGCAAATTTTTTTTATTATTAAAAATAACCATAGAAAAAATAATTGCTTTGTAAAAATTACATCATTTAAGGAATAGTTTTTTTTACCACAATAAATAAATTAAATATTATTGAAAAAAAACTAATACTGTGCAATAAGCAATAGCCAATCAGGTTTTATAATGTAATAATTATTTTATTAATAAAAATTTTATTAACAATTGAATTTAATGAATACTGTACGACTGTACGTATAACAAATTAAAATTTTGTGCTGCACTGGCACTATATAATAAAGAGTCAATAAGGTGCGCATGTGTTAATATTTCGGTCATTTATCCTTATTAGACAGATAATGAACCTGTGCGACATAATTCACAACTCTCACGTGATCTTGCGTATATAATTGACTACGAATAACGCTACAGTCGCTACACCGAATTTTCATATTCAATACAAAATGGAATTAACTCAAAAGCCTAAAAAGTGGAAATATAATGGCGAATATCAGGTAAAATAATTTTTATACTGATAGATGATGTAAATTTAATATTTATTACATATTATTATTTATTTAATAAAAAGGTGCATGTTACTAATTCTTTAACTGAATCGGACGATGTTGATGAAAAAATAGTTTACATGGAAGATTTAAAAAAAAGAGAAGAAGTATATGGGATATGTGTTGAATGTAATGAGCCTGGAACAGGGAAGGAATGGTGTCAACCTTGTAATGCTAAAAGATTTAAGAAAAATTTTAAATATTGGACTAGTGAAAACAAAGATATTGATGAATTAATACAACAATCACAAATGAATGCTGTACATTCTACAAAGTGTCTTGAATGGATATCCTATGAAAATTTTAAAAATATTGTTCCTATTAATAAAGAAAATTCCAGTAAAATTTATTCAGCTGACTGGCCCAAAGGAAATATTTATTCATGGAATATTGAGAATAAAGAATGGAAGCGTTATTCAAATAAAAAAGTTGCACTAAAAAGTTTAGCTAATTCTTCTGATATAAGCATAGACTTATTAAACGAGGTAATTAAAAAATAATGAATTAAATTTATTAAGAAATTTTATTTATTTTATTCTAAATTTATTTTTGACATTTTATATTAGGTTAAATCTCATATTCAGATTTATACTAAGAATATTATTCAATTTTATGGAATAACACAGGATCCGAATACTAAAAATTATATGATTGTTTTACAATACTGTAAAGATGGAAATTTGAGAAATTATATAAATCAATCTGATAAGTATATAAATTATGAATTAAAAATTGATCATTTATTTCAAATTTCAAGAGGCCTTTTATATATTCACAACTCTGGAAAAATTCACACAGACCTTCATTCAGGCAATATATTATTTGATGATGTCCCATTTATAAGTGGTTTGGGGTTGGGTCGATCAGAAACTAATGTTGAAAAACAAGGTGATTTACCTTGTATGGCCCCGGAAGTTTTGCATGGGTACGGATATACAAATGCAACAGATATTTATTCATTTGGAATAATAATGAATGAATATATATCAAAAGAATTTCCTTATGATATTCCTAATAATTATATTTTAGCAGTTAAAATATGTAATGAAGGGCTTAGACCAAAAATTTCTGAAAATATGCCAAAATTATTTACAGATTTGATTACTAAATGCTGGGATGCTAATGTGAAAAATAGACCAACTGCTAAAGAATTATATCAAATCTTAAATAAATGGAATAAGGAAAAATATTATAAAGATAGTGAAATTTATTTTCAAATAAATAAATGTGAGAAAAATGAAAGTATTCGAACTTATCCCGTAAAAAATTTATCATCTGAACAGCAAATAATTCGACAATTCAAATTGAACCATGGATTATTCTTGGATGGACGTAGTATAAAACCTAGTGAACACGCTATATTTATTGAAGATGGCAAATTGAATATGAGTTTATATGATAGTCAACCTTTAGTTTATGTTTCCGTAAATGTCAATGACTCTCGTGTAAATTTATTGAGTTTCAATTCTGATAACAATATTGATTATGACAAAACTTTACGTCTATCAGATATATGTATTAATTTTCCAGTTGCTGAAATTTCTTATACAGCTAATTTAACAGAATCCTTTCTAAACTTTATAAATAATGGAGTAACATCATATGAAAGATATGGCCATCTATTTGCAAGAAAAGTTTTGGTTGGCGGTAAATTATTCATTAATGGCCTTAAATCAGCCACTTCAGCACAAGCTGATGCATTTAAGTCTAACTTATCTTGGATATATAATTTAGCTAGGTATAATAAAGAAACCTCATTTATGAATCTACCTACTTCGGATTTTTTTCCTAGGGTAAGAACATTAGATGGAGAAGACTTAAATACTTATGAGAAATTAACAAATTGGATGACCAACTTGTACCAAAATAATATGATTGATATCATTTCGTATAATAATCTTATTCCCGTTTCTGAATTAAGGTTCAGTGAATCATCATCAATAGATGAGAAACAACCTGGAGTTGTTAATTTCAAAGAGAGATTAAGTTTTGAAGATTGGGCAGTATACGCTAATTTAATAAGATGGATTAATGAAAATAATCTTTTCCAGGGTCTAATAATTGATAAGCATTTTGAATTAGCGTTTAGCAAAAAAATAGCTGTTAATTTCACTAAAATTCCTGATGTAGATTCAAGTAATAATTCTTATTTGAAAATGGTAAGGTCAACAACAAAGGTAGAGGAATTTTTGACATCTAATAATATTTTTTCTATTAAAGATATAGGATCTTTTCCATTTATTAATGAAATTATTAGATCTGAAAATATAAGTTATAAAGATTGTACCCATTTATTAGTAAAGCTCGAAAGATATAGAATTACGTCTGATATTGTACCTTCAGAAGAATTCAAACAAGACATAGTAAAAGCGCTTGAAAGTATGAAGCCATTTATGTGCTTACAAAATGTATTTGATGAATATGGCTATTTTTTTTCATTAAATATCGTCTTGGGAAAATCCCTTAAAAATATTTCACGAACCCCCTTATCATATAATTCTGAAGAGATATATTTAGAAACAGAGTCTTTAAAATCACACTTGGATAAATTGAATGTTTCATATCTTTTAACGAAAAAAGGAGACGTTATTAAAAAAAAAGATCTGTCTAATTGGATTCAAAATACAAATAATGATCTAGAAGTTATTGAATTTGATAATATAATTCCTTTATATCATATTCTTGAAATAGAGCAACAAAAGAAAATAGATGTCATCTTAAATAAGAACGATAAGCTTAGAATTGTAATGACGGGAATTGAGGAATTGAAAGATTTAGATATTAAAAATACTGAACATTATAAACGAATAAACATAGAAGCATCTTTGGAAGATAAGGATTATGAAGTTTTTGGATCTGTTATTTCTAAAGATAATTTAAGATTAGAGAATTTTTTAGTTACATTTGGATTATATGACATTAATAGATTTAATGCAATGATAAAAACTTCCAAGAATACAAATACTAATATTACGGAATGTTATATTTTGTGGATGGTTATTGGAAATCCTTCAAAATTATCAGTTTTTAGCCCAAGTAATCGAGAGTTTCAAGTTGATTGTATTAAAAAGTCTATAACATTACAATCAAATAATTCTTACTACCCAATTAAAACTTCTTATAGATTATCTGAAGGATGTGCGATCTCCTTCAATGCATATTATCCAACAACAAATTATGAGCCTATGCCTATAAATATTAAAATTAAATTGGTTAGCTGGTCGGAAGATTGTATTTATTTTCAAATATTTGAACCGAATCTAGATAGTTCGGATGTAATTTCTGATGATTATGACCAACTTACAGATATTGAAATAACAATATGTGTTTTATATCCAAATTATGAAAATTTAAAGATCGATAATAGGAACATAGAAAATTCCCATGATTTAATTGGTTGTATTCTAACTGAAAGTACAAAAGGTATGTTGAAAATTTAATTATATTTTTTCATTTTCAAAAATTATTATACTGTATATCTTATATATCATAATATATCATATTCAAATAGTTATTCCGTTTCCAAAATTTTTTCCTTTAATTTCTGAGATCAGTAATGTTCTTAATGAAATTATTGAAATAACACAAACCACTGAATATTATAAACGAATTTGTGATATGTTAAAACAACGAGTTGATGCTGTAGATTTGGCTGTGCGTGATTTTAAAGTTAAAAAATATAATCAAGGATTTTTCAATCATAATAACTATATTTATTTGCAAAAATTAGTTAATGTTATAACACAAATTAAAAATTTTATGACAGAAATTTCTCAAATGAAAACTTTGATAAAGTATATACAAGTGGAAAGTATTGAGAAAACTTTCAAAGATTTATGTTATGAATTTGATGATTGTATTTATTCATTGGCTTTTGCTATCACCATTAAAAATTCTGATGTATTTGAACAATTAAAAGCTGATCAAGAAGATTTAACTCAGGTAGGTATAAAATTTATTCCTATGTATAATACACTGTAAAAATGTATTTAATATGTTTATTATTCACAATTATAGTATCTGAGAAATATGGACATTGACACAAAAAAATCTAATGATGATGTAACAGAAGTTGAAACTATCATGAAATTAAATTTTGTTAATTATGAAAAAACTTTTCGTAAAAATTGGCATGTGACTAAACGGGTTAGCGTTAAAAATAAAAGTGAAGAATTCGCTTTTAAAATTATCTCTGAAGAGGAAAAAAGTATGATACAAAATCAAATCACAATTCTTAAAAAACTTCATGACTGGCAAAATATTATAAAAGTTTATGGACTTACTTGTAAGGGAAATAAATGGTATTTAGTGTCTGAATGGGCCAAATATGGAAACTTGCGTGAATATTATACAAACTATAAAGATCGATTCGACCTTAGGTTAAAATTACGTATGTCCCTTGATATCGCCCGCGGATTAAATTTTTTAAGAACCGTTGAAGTAATAAGCATTATAAAAGTTTTCATTTATTGCTTTACTTATTTATTTACATTTTTAATTTATTTTTTGTTTTTCTTTTTAGATTGCGCACCATGACATTAGAGCAGAGAATATATTAATTACATTACACGAGGCAGCAAAACTAGCAAATTTTAAATTAAGTCGTTATATAACTGCAAAATCATTAGAACAAAGCCAAAATTTAGAACGAGTTCGTTATTGCGCTCCCGAACTATTAGAGAGAACTTACAACTTCAAATATGATCATAAATGTGAAGTTTATAGTTTTGGAATTTTGCTTTGGGAAATTGCAGAAGAAAAAATTCCTTATGAACAGTATAAGGATATTGTAAAAATAACTGATTTGGTATGCAACAATAAATATCGGGAATCCTTTTCAAGAGACAGCCGAATGCCTTTATCATTCACAAGCTTAGCGCTTGAAGGTATGTAAAAATATGTGTATGATTTACTATTAAATATTAATCATCTTTTTCATTTTTAGCTGTTGATCATGATCCAGATTTTAGACCAGAAATCTCTAAAATGTTTGAAGTTCTCAATGATTGTTTTGAAGAATCTGAATCCCGAGTATCTAATGTAAGTAAAAATAAGTGCATCTATATTTAATACGAATCAATTGTAATAGAGTATCTTCCTTTATGATATATTATTATATTGTACTTAGTATTATCTAAGAGTTGCTAAAGAAGTTGAAGAAGTTGGAACTAATATGAGAGACTTAACTAATGATATTTTTTCAATGACCTTAAAAGCCAATTCGACGAATAGTATGGTGAAAAAACTTTTAGATGAACAAACTAAAAATGCAAAAAATGATAGTGAGAAAAATGATGATGATAAATTAAATGAAATGATTCAATCGAGGATTGATAAAATTTTCGCAGTACGTCAATTAAGAATATCCGATTACGAAAAAACTAATGAGAAGCCACATAAAGACGGGCGCGTGACTAAATGGGTTAATATTAAAAATAAAAGTGAAGAATTCGCTTTTAAAATTGTTTCTGAGGAGGAAAGATCTAACGTACAGAATCAAGTTACAATTCTTAAAGAACTTCATGATTGGCAAAATATTATGAGAATTTATGGATTTACTTGTGAAGAAAATAAATGGTATTTGGTATCTGAATGGGCTGAATATGGTAATTTGCGTGAATATTACACAAATTATAAAGATCGATTCGACATTAGATTAAAATTACGTATGTCTCTTGATATTGCTCGTGGATTA